GGATTTTGGGATGTTTGGGGTTAAGCATTCTTGGGTTTGAATAGTACTGGGTTGGATGACCTCCTGGGAAATTCAAATTCAAAAGCTTACATCATGATTATTAATTTTGGTCTGCAATTCATAAGCACCAGCTTCAACTATATGAGGATAATTTTATGACTCCTTTATTATTTTGGAGTCTCTATCTTTCCTGTGATCCCAACTATAATTGTTTACTATAACTACATTAGCCAATTTGCTAAGTCAAACACTCATCTATATCACATCCTCAACTCTTTGAGGAAAACTTTATACTATTCCCAATATCGCAAAGTCATTGCCTTACTAGCCCCTTTCTATTCACCACATTGCATACAAGTTCATATAGTGGAGAGCCACATCCTCCTAACATGCTACTCTTTGAGGATAGGCCCAATTCTAAAACCTTCCGATGCCAATACAAGTGGTAACATATTTGGCCATCAATAAGAGTTAGATTAAGGAACAACTTCGATACCAAGTTGTAAGTGACTAAATTTTCCATTCTATTTTAGTCACTTAACCACACCTCGGATCATATGGAGGAGTCTCACTCACAACCTCCATAAGTCCTATTCCGGACCTGAGGATTTATTAGCCCCAAGAATGGTATCTATACCACTCAACTTTTACACTTGGTCCAAGTGCTCCATGTGTCTGATCCCATGACCGACACCCAAAGGTGCCATCAACATATCAGCCCATTACACTAAGGCTATGTTTATTCACCTTTGTCACACTCATAGTCCAACACCACTTACATCACAGCCCATCTCTCAAAGATTGGGCTATCTATCCATAAGTGATCGTTTCATATCCACTCCTTAGCATCTTTAGGATGCCTGTAGATATAAGGAACAACCTTCCCTAATATCCCTTTCTCGGTCCCCACCAAGTCCCTTTCCATCCACGGTTGTGTTCACCAACACTGCCACTGAGTCAAGGCTCAAAGGCCTAGCCACTATGTCCTATTGACCTCTGGAACCCCCTTGCCACATGACCACATCCTTGGTCACCACATAAGAGGACTATTCCTCTTCCTTTCCACAGTCTGGGACTCCAAGACAACATTTCTAGGATTTTGGGTGCCCTAGCCATGTGGTTAGAGCGAGGTTTCAATGAGCCATGCCAAGTATCCAAGTAGGTAGTGCCACTCACACTTGGATTGGGAGTATTGACCATTCAATCTCCCAAAGAAGCTAAAGCTAACTCTTGAACACTTCACTAAGTTATTTCATTTGTCTGTTTATGTTCACTTTAACCTTAGACTCCTCAGTGGTTATATCATCACCCATCACATAGGTATAACTTTCCTTGGTCACAATCACCTTTTCTAGCTAAACTGGCTCCACTAGAGTCCTCTCCCTACTATACTTTTAGAGCTCACTAAACCCCCCAAGGTTTAGGAGACAAACACTTTGGGCTTTCACCCTCGAATTCAGACTCAAACTTGAACTCAGACTCGAACTTGGTCTCAGTCTCGGTCTCGGTCTTGGCCTCTTTCTCGGCCTCGACCTCGGACTTTATCTCAGATCCATCTTGGACTTGACCTCAGACTCCATCTCAGGCCAATCTCGGACTCCACCTCAGATCCATCTCAAACTCCATCTCAGGTCCATCTCAGACTCCATCTCAGGTCCATCTTGAACTCCATCTCAATTCCCTCTCGGACTCTATTGGTTCTTTTGTATACCCTTGAGCAAGGTATATTTCTACCCTTAAATTTGAAATTGTATATATTGAGCATCCATAAGTATGTCCTTCCTCTTGTGGGGCATCTATGAATGAAGGTATCTACTGTGGGACTATAGTATAAATGCATGACTAAAGGTTATTTTATCCCTATTTATCCCCTAATGTTTCAAGGATCCATGGTGACAATATATCCAAATTTCATTCTATTCTTCCTGTACCCACCCATAACTACTGCTGGGTCAAGTGGCACGATCAACGACACACATAGCCTCCTCTCTAGTGTACCTACCCATTGGAGCATCAAGCCTCTCCACATCCTATGATGACATGCATTACACTTACCCCCTTTTCAAAGATGTCAATGTCTTTATTGACTACTACCAAAGCTAGTTCTCCTATTGAGCTAAGTAGAATTAACACCTTCATTTCTACATTGAATCTACCAATCTTTTCATTATGTAAACTAGTTATTTTATATGAGGCAACTAAAAGCTCTCTTACCAAGCAATTACTCCTTTTTTAGTTCGCTTAAAAGGAGAGAGATAAGGTGTGTTATAAACAAGTATAATAGGTTTGGAATAAAAGTTCCAACTTAAAAAGTTGAGAATGGGAGTAGAATTCCCAGAAAAGCATTTAAGGAACAATCAATAGATAAAAAAGTCTCTAGTAAAAGATAAATGAATGAGCAACACATGGTGAGTGTTGTGATATGTGGAAGTATCAAAATTGAATTCCTAAAATCTAAAGACTGAAAATGAAATGATGTCAAAATGATCTCACCCCACCAAAAAGCCAAGTGTCTAAAGTGTTGGACATATCCAGGGCTAAACATATTTAAGGCCTAATATATTTAAGGTTGGATATATCTAGAGCTGGATATATCCACAAGTGGGGTGAAAGCATAAAGTGATTGTGTCCTAGATTTTGGAGGATTTGGTTAATCCTTGTGGGATGTAAGGGGAGGACTCCAAAAGAATTAGAGATTTGGTATGTAGTTCAAGATTCTTGAAAGTCAGGATGAATAGAATTAGCTATCTAATTTAAAAGATAGTGGTAATTGGTCAAATATTCGTTATAGAAGAAGGGCCATAGCTAGAGAGGTGCTAGATGGTCTAAATTAGGAGGAATGTAAGATGTTGTGGAACTCATAGGGGCCTATGAAAGAAAACATGTATACTTGTTATGTAGGCAAGCATCAAAACCATAAAGATACCTGAGTGTGAACGAGGAAGATATGTATATCCCAACATCCTATAACTCAATTTTTGAGCTAACCATGTATAGGGGACCAACAATTTGCCCTCCATGAGTTTGAACGGTAGTTATATTCCACAAAATTTCAGGAAGTTTAAAAGGGCATGGTTAAATAGACTAAAATCAAGATCATCTCTCCACTCTCTTCACAACTAAAAGAGGTCAATAGGTGGCTTGTATACAACACAATTCTCTAGGAGGACATACAATGCCAATAAGAAAGAATTAGACTTCGATTGGTAAATGCAAGTTTAGGAAGAAATTCTTGAGTCTTAACAATTGACAACTTATACTTAAGATCCATATTAAGGAAGTAGAACGAGTTTGAAATAGAATGAGCTTATGCAAATGCTTTGATTGACACTTTAGGATTGGTAATTACAAAATTATTTCTTGGGCAAGCTTAAAAAGTCTTTATTCACTAGGATAGAGAATTGATTTCCTAGATGTTTTTAATAGATGCCTAAGAGGTTAGGGAGGTGTTCATGCAAGTAAATACATCACCAGATCCTTGCAATAGAATCTCAAGCTAAAGGTAGAAAAGAGGAGGATATTCAAATAGAGATGAAAATTTTATTATAAGCTTTTGAATTTGAACTTCTTAGGAGGTTATTCAACTTAGTACTATTCAAACCTAATAATACTTCACCTTAACTATCCTAAAATTTTTAATTGATTGGAAAAAAGGGTATCTTTTCCCTTTATATTTTAACCTTTTATAAATTATCTTTTGAACTATTTTTTATTTATTTATAATCCACCATGCTTCCTCTCCCGAGAGCAGCCAACCAATAAAGTCTTTTAAGCTAGTTAACAAAATTAAACTTGAAACCCCTTTGATACTAAATATAAGTTCTTAAATTTAAACTTCTTGAAAGGTCATTTAACCCAATACTATTTAAACCCAAAGATATTTCACCCCAAATACTTCAAGAAAGACCCTTAACTAATTGGAAAAAAAGGTGTATTCTTGTTCATAAGCTCTTTCTCTTTATATTTAAACATTTATAAATCGTTTTTTGAGTTATTCTCTTTGGTTGCTTATATTTACTATTTCACTAACTTAAGATTTTAAATCTCAACTTACCAAGGTAGATCAATCATATGATGACTTTTGGGAAAAAGATAGTGGATCAAGCATTTAGAGATTTTGGATCATGCAAGAGAATTGAAATATCTTTTTAATGATCATTAGGCTAGGATATATATAATATTCTTAAGCTTGTTTGAATTTACATAAGTGTGTTTGAAGTTCTTCCATGTCTAAAGTGAGCAAGGAACTCAGTCACCATCCCATAGTCAAGCTAGAGAGAGTCTTTGTGTAGCTTGTGATCAGTCATGGAAACATAGTGTTCTTGAGCTTGAGGTGGAGTGTTCTGGAGGTATCCTTGTTGTCTAAGAGAGATAAAGGCATGCCCAACATCTTTTGGTTGTGTAAATACAAATATACAAGGGACTTGCAGTCAGCCATGGAAACATGGTGATCCCAAGTATAAAGAGGTGTCAAGCATCACTCAGGGAGAGAAAAAAATGAGTTACTATCATGGTACAAGAGGAGAATGCTTGAGGAGTTGGCACTAGGAATATGAATCTACTGCAATGAATGGTATTAGGCTGCATCATTCCCAGCAGAAAGGAGGCCTTGATCGGGCTAGATTGGAGCTGGGCACACCTTGGGCAGTGAGAGGCAAGAAGTCAATAAAGAAGTAACAGCAAACTGCCACATAGTACCATTCCACTGCTGCCACATGGATCTGGCTTGGATTGTTCGCCCCACCCTAAGGGGCACAGCCATAGAAAGTTTGGCAGTTGCCACTTTTTGGGTGGCAAAAACCAATAGAATTATCTCTGGAGTCTTCTAGTTACATTTAACTTTATCTTGAACCATTTTAGGGTTTTTCAGGAGAGATGGGCGCTCCTGGCACGTCAGGGAGGGATTTTTTCCCCAGAGAACGACTCGTGTGCACGCACACCAGCAGATACACACGCGCGTGGGGCTGGATCGTCCTTCAATCTTTCCAGGTGATTTGTTTGAGCTCGTGTTTAGCGCAAATCCCTCCCTGATTACTTGCACACGCTCAAGATCAATACTTTTAGAGCTTTCCAAATCTGTGTCAATGCGCTGTGGCTTTCACATTTAGTTATCTGTGCTGCGCCTGCGCTCTGCCCTGCCATCGCTTTAATGGTTGGAATGGAATTGGAATTTGGAAGGAGCCTCTTTCTCGCCCATCATTCCTCGCTCGCATTCCCTTTTCTTGTTCCTCTTCCTCCTCTCTCCCTTAAAATCTTTTGGCATTCAAAGGGGTGCTCGTGGAACTTTTCTAAAGCTATTCACTCTGATTGCTTTGTCTTGTTCTTCCTCCATCTTTCTCTCCTTTCCATCAATCTTCTCTCTCGCTCGTCTTGTTTTCTTCTTTCTTTCCTTGCTGTGGCACACGGGTGGGTTTTTGTTTTTATCATGGTCTAGTTGGTCTGGTGACAACACCAACATACCAACACCCAACGATTTGATGGATTGATTGCGTGATTGCCAGTCGCGAGTGACTGCGAGGTAACATTTCCTCTCGAGATATTACCGAAGAATGAAAGAGAAAGAAGAGAGGCCTCAAGGAGGAGAATAAACAATGTGAGCGGAGAGAAGAATTCGCCGGGATTTTCCTTTTCTTTTTCCTTCTCTGCCTGTCAAAGTTGGTCTTTCTGTAGTGTTCCTCGTGCTCGTTTTGGGGCTTTAGAGTTCTTGAGACTGCCACCGACGAACGAAAAAAGGAAAAAATCGTTTCTCTCCATCGACCAGCGATGGAGCTAGTGATGATGTTGGTGGGAATTTTTCTGGGATTGGTGGTGACCTTTTTCATGGTGAAGCAGAGTAGAGTGGCGGTGGAGGTGTCGAGCACAAGTGGAGCAAAGACTCCGCCGGGTCCTGCGTGGAGAATCCCTCTTGTCGGCGAAACGCTCAGCTTTCTCAGAGATCCACACCGCTTCTATCTCACTCGTATTGCCAGGTAAAACTTATTCAGTCACGCATTTTTCCTGTTTCATTTGGTTTGTGTTCTTGCGTTTTGATGGCTCCATTTCTCTCGTGCTTTCTCTCTGTGTGGTGCGTTCCAAATCGTCCATTTTTCCTGCCTTAACTCCCTCGAGTATTCAGATATGGAGAGATCTTCTCCACTTCGCTTTTTGGCGACAAATGCATCATTGTCACCACTCCGGAGGCCTCGAAGTGGTTGCTCCAGTCGGCTCAAAAGTTTTTCAAGCCTGCTTATCCCGAGTCTGCAAATTCTCTCATCGATCCGACGCGCAGCTTTGGCAGCGAGCAGCTTCACAATTATGTCCGGAGAATCGTTGGCTCCTCCCTGTATCCCGAGTCCCTCCAGTCCCATATCCCTGCGATCGAGGCGCTCGCTTGCTCAGTCCTCGATTCCTGGACAAAGCAAAAGTCCGTCAATGTCTACAGCGAAATGGCCAAGGTACTTAAATCATCTAGCCTCTAGCTCTAGAAGGAAAGCACCAGACATTCTTCTCTCCTTTTTCTCTCTCAGTTTTTTTTGTTGCGATTTTGGGATTGATTGACTTGTTTTTTCTTTCGCTTTCCATTGAGCAGTACACATTCGAGGTGGCGATGAAAATTCTATGCGGGATGGAGCCGGGAAAACAGATGGACGCACTGTTCCAGAACATGCAAGACTTTGAAAAGGCGTTCCTCACGCTCAACATCAACCTTCCTTTCACAACTTACCGACGTGGTCTCAAGGTGAGCAAACAACTTGAGAATCTCTTTCTTTTCTTACTCTTGAAAGACCAAACTTTCTCTTCTATAGTTCCCCATAGATTTCCGCAGAGCTTCCGAAAGCTTTTTTAGTGTTTCCTCTCAACTTCTTCTCATCCGAGGTGTTCTTCTCTCCTGTCTCGACTCTTTGTGGCTACAGGCAAGGGACAGCATGTTTAAAGCAGTGGAGGAGATGATCCAGCAGAGGAGAAAAAAGAAAAGGGACTGGAGTGGTCGGGAGCAGCAGCAGCGGCTGGACATGCTCGACTCGATGATTTGCGTCGAAACCAAGGACGAGAAGTTTGCCAATGCGGTGACAGACATCCACGTTAGAGGAATCATCATGACAATCCTGTTCGCTGGGCACGAGACCTCTGCAGCACAGCTGGTGTGGGCCATCAAGAACTTACACGACAATCCAGAGCTCCTCCACGGAGTCAAGGTAAGACAAAAGAAAGAAGAGATTCAAGCTTCGTCTTTAATCCTGTTTGATCAGGAAGAACATGAAGCTATCCGGAGGAAACGAGAGCCTGGATCTCCACTTACGTGGTCTCAAGTCATGAAAGAAATGCCTCTCACGCTCAGAGTTGAGTTTTCTATCGCGATCAAACTCGAAGCTAAGCTTTTTCGTTTCCAACTTCTCTCCAGGTGATAAACGAGACGATGAGAACTTCCTACGTCGGACTCTTCCTTCCCAGGGAAGCACTTGACGACCTCGAGTACGATGGTACGAGAAAAAAAGCATAAGAAGTTAAAGTTTGTTCATCGTGTCGTTGTTCGCAGGCTACTACTTTCCCAAAGGCTGGAAAGTTTACGCATCGCCGTCGATGGTCCATCTCAATCCAAAGCTCTACACGGAGCCGTACAAGTTTGATCCCACCAGATTCCAGGTACAGTCCAGAGGTCAATTGCTTGCCTAAAGCTTTGATGATTCATTCGAGAGAGCAGGAAAGAAACAAAAAAAGAAAAGATTGGAGGAGGGCCAGAGATCTTCCGTTTCATTAAGATTTTGCTGATTTTTTCTTCCAGGACGGTGGTCCAAAGCCGAATACTTTCATACCATTTGGCAATGGCCAGAGGCTGTGCTTGGGCGGTGAGCTCGCAAAGGTTGAAATGCTCGTCCTCATCCACCACCTTGTTACTACATACAGGTACCAAGAGCTTTTTCCTTCCTTTCCTTTCTTTGGTATCTTCCTGCCTACACAGGAGAGAAAAACGCTTGTAGCTTTTGCTTTTTTTTGCTGCTGCTGGTAGACTTTGTCACGACTTTGGAATTTTAAACTCGTTTTCTGTGGTTCTGTGCAGCTGGAAGATTAAGGAGGATCACGGTGGGATCAGATGGTGGCCAGTCCCGATCCCCAAGGGCGGACTGGTCATACAAGTAGAACGAGAAGTGGAGCGAGGATTAGAAAAGGAAACGAGGCAGGGTCAAACTGGGGAGCTCGGCTCTGGTGAATTCCAACACTAGGACTCTTTAGTATATTTTGTAGACGTAGCTGGCTGTACAAAAAAGTCTTGGATGCAAGTTACTCGTGTACAATCTTAACAGCACGAACAAAATAAGAGGAAGTCAGGAGGGGGCATGGGCGCTTCTTGAAATAAATAGATATATTCAAGATACATTGTTAAGTAGAAACTAAACGCATTTTTATAAAATAAATAATCAAGATTATATTTTAAGTAATTTTTAAAACCTACAAAGTTTCCAATTATCTAAACTTTCAAACCTTGCTTGCAGGTAAAAACAAGCTTTTCCTGGTTAAATGAGCCTTGAAATTTCAGCCACTTCAATTCAGCAGCAATTCAAGGCAAGCTTTTTGAAGTCTCATTGGATGGATTTTTTCACGACTCAAGTATGCGTTTCTTCTAGCAGCTCTCATTCTAATCTCTCAGCTAGATTCGTGCTATGCACCACCAGATGGGATTTTTAGAATAAGAGCCTTGCATAATATGTGTGGAACAAATAAGAGCAATGGTAGAAAGGATACAAAGCTATGTGAGAAATATGCGTGATAACGTTCGATTTGGGGCTGAAAGATGAAACTTGTCGTGATTTTTGATACGAATACATTTATTAAGGTCTATATATTTGTGTATAGTAGAGTGTTTGACGAGACCCCAGGTATTTGTACCATGTGTCCAACGATCCAAGGTGTGCTTGTCCAAAATCTACGGCAAAATATACTGGATATGTGTGATAGGATACTAGAAGAGTTAAGGGGTAGAGAACATTGTTATGGTTATGTTGATATTGTTCTTCAGTATATTGGACTTCGTTATGAGTTCGAACTAGCTCCTAAACAGAATAACCAGCTTTTGTTCTCCAACTTCTCGTCAGTTAATACATTTGATGATCATAAGTATGCAGAGCTTGATGGGTTTGATAGCGATATAAGACATTGTTGGGTCTATGCTACATCACTGATCAGTGGCTCTAGAACACTCTTGGCTCGTATTTGCTGATAGTTCTTATAGGTTGACAATGCAAAAGAATTGTAATCTCATACTACAAAGTCCCAGGGGAATAATCACATGGAGCTCAGAAACACAGGGAAAAGATTCTGGTTGCTACTTAATCCTGCTAGTCAATGCAATTTGGCGATTGTTGGATCTAGAGGAGAGGCGTGGTCTAGCAAAACGAGCTCCATCCAAAACAAGTTATATGCTCTTGTGATCGACAATCTTGGTTACTTGGCTATTTACAGAACAGAAACTGCTAGAGTTATTTGGAGATCTCCTTAAGAAAATTGTGCTTATAATGTTGATTGATTGATTGATACATTCCCGTCCTTGACAAATTTATATGTACAATACTTTGCGGGACCTTGTGATTGAATATTGTTATATCTTAGGACTCAAAGGATACAAAGTTTGGCTAAAAAGACATCGAAATTAGATGATTGGATGATTGGGGAGTTAGACATGTTTGTAGAAAACCATGGGGTTCTTTAGTACACCTGAATCTTTCATTCTTTGCATTGGCCTTTTGTTTTTCCTTGAACATGGGGTTAAATATTTTGTCATAGATGTGGATTTTTGGAGCTGCATGATGAATGGACGATCCCCTTGGCACTGCTGTCTTGCTCCAGGATCTGAGGTCCAACTTATAGGAGTTTATGTGTGTCTGCTATTGGGATTCAATTGATTAGTAGAATTTTGGAAATATTTCAAAAATTGCATTAAGATTTTCTACATGATTTTATTGAAGATTTTTAAATCTTAAGTAATTTTATTTTGTCAGTTCATGTTTGGCTCAAGTCATGAAGAGCCAGGTTTCACTTTAATTAAAAAAGAAACAAAATATATGTTAAGACAGAAGGCTAGTTGTGTGTAGTAAAGAAATTGTTAAAGTTACAATTGCAAAGTGATATAATTTAGATAGGTATAGTAACTTGTGTAATGTGATGTGAAGTTTTTAATTATGCTCCCTCAAATATGGTAATGGAAAAGTGATGTTGTGGTTCAGACATGCAAAATTTAGATTCTCCAAAGGTGGACCTAGCCCAAACTTGGTGGCAGCAGGTTTGGTGGCAAGGAAGCAAGTGTGTGGGCACAACTCAAATCTTGAAAAACACATGTGAATGTATAATTGTTTTTATAAACACTAAAAGTTTGTTTGAAACTATTTTTTTGGGCATGGTCATGTTAGGATAACTAAGGAGAATGGTCGAGCAGGATCAGCACAACAATGGGGTTTAGTTTTTGGCAACACTGTACAAGAGCTTGTTTTCAATTTTTATTTCAATGGTGTGAGTGGAGCCTAGGTACACTTTGAGCTTATGACACAGCTCTTAAGCTTATGAGCTGAGCTCAAAGCTCAAAAGAACTATATAAAAACTTTTGTTTGTCCCGAACCAATGTTTTGGTAAATATCAAAATTACATTTGATATATATCTCTTTGTAAGTCTTGATCTGAAAAACACAAAAGTAAAATAGATTTGAAAGCTAATAAAATAACTACCATGCTAAAAACAAGCTTGATGGATATGGTGGTTGACTTAAGGATCTTGATTTAGTTCTTTCATGAAAATGTAATAAATATACTTGCAAATATACTTGCAAGCCAATTATAGACAAAGTCTCCCCAAGTCTCCCTTTGGACAAAATTTGGACAAATGCATTCCTTACCATAACACTAATGTAACTTATTTTGAGATCATGCACTGCAATTCTTTAGCAAGCTTGATTTTGTCCTATGCAGCCTTTAAAATGGATGACTTGTATTGTACAACCTTCCCATTTTTAGCTTAGTCTGGTATGCTAATCAAGTGTTGTCATCTATAGCATAACTGTGATATTTGATGAGGCCTTCAGTGTAAACCTTGCTCTATCCAGACTCACAGTCTCTTCTTATATGAGGTTCCATCTAGGCTTAATAGGCCAATGCTCTTACAAGGAATTTGGCTTCAAGATAATGGAATTGTGGATTTATTATGTGTGTAATATTTGTTCTATAATAGTAAATCCACCTATAGCAAAGGCACTTTGCCCCAAAGTCTTGACTTCCCCAAAAACAAGGAATTGGTGAAGACTTTAAGCTCAAAGCATACTTGATAAATACTAAACACTAACCCCAACCAACAATTATTCCAAAGCAAAGTGCATTACTCTTACTATTGATTCTTCATATTGCCTAGTTTGTGCAAGGCACTAGTTCACAACCTATGACTTGCTTAACCTCTGGCATTAGATCCATCTGTGTAACATTTGGAACATTTTGTTCTTTACATTCATCCATCTTTCTCTTTAATCATGGTACAGAATGATAGTCAAACTCATATGCGTGTGAGTTGGAAGGATTGAAATTTGGCCTCTAACAAGTTTATTGCTACTTCATACAAGTTATCTTCATATCCCCAAGTGAAGTGTAGCTAAATTCCATAAGGGTCCCTTCCTCCACCATCCTGGACATCGATGTTATTACTGATGTTGTCTTGCTACCAACTCTTTCTCAGAACTTATTTAAGTTTAATCTTGTACCTGTAAACCTTGTTTCTTGTGCAACTAAAGCTTTTGCTGATTGCTTAAGTGATTTAGTAAGATGGGACAAAGTAGCTTCTTAAAGGGATGCCTTTCTTTACCAGCTTCTAATGACTGCCAACTTTAAGACTTGCTCTTGAATAGGTTGGTGGTTGGTGTCAATACAATATCATCAAGTGGTTGATTCTAAAAAGAATACAACATTTAAACATGAGAACAAATGAGTTGACAAGCTTATGTGGAGAATATAATGGCCCCATTAGAATATGTGAACTTCCCACTATACCAACCAACACTCCATTTGTAGAAGATATTAACTTGGCATTTTATTTTCTTCAACCCACTATATATTTGATTTTCCTTGGTCTTATGCTCCTTTTTGGTTAGAGTTTCCTTCCACTTGCAATAAAACTGTTTGAAATTTTCATAGAATTCAACTTTGATATATCAACAATGCTCGTTAACACTCTTTACCTAGTGAAACTCTCACAACTCTTCTCTCTACTTTGTAAAGCTTCCTTCAAAAACTTTACACATTGCCAAACAATTAGCTCCAACAACATTTGCCATTGTTGAATTGAGAACCTCTCAATGGTGGGGAGAACACTTTCTCATACTTTGAAATCCCACTCAAATATATTTCTTGTGTGAACTCCCTACCTTAGAAAATGGGGAAAAAGAGAACCTCTATGCCCCAGCATCTCCCTAGAATATTCTAACAATGGAATATTTTAGAGAATCTCACTCAAAGCTTTAAGCCATCTCCTAATAGGTGACCACAAGGAAATGTGCTAACTCCGTTGCATGCAAGAACCCATGGCCAAAGTGTTGGTGTAGACTCCAACTACCCTGTGTCGGCAACTGTTACAAGGAGAAGAGACCAAAGAAAAACAAAGTAAAGAGAAAAAGAAATAAAGAGAGTGTGGAGTTCTAGAGTCAAGGGAAAACCATATGAAAAAACTTGATAAAAAAACTAGATACAAAAACAAAAGGAGAAAAAGTGGAGAAAAGAAAAATAAAAATGAAATAAAGAAAAGAAAAAAAGAAAGAGAAAAAGAAAGATAAAACAGAAAAGAGAAGATGGAAATATGAAATTAAGTAGGAGAACCATTTACTTAGACTCCAACTTAAGGGTACCTCACCTCTAGAAAGTACCTCAAACATAGCCTAGCTACTCTCAAAGTTCCAAGGAAATAAAGTGATAGAAGTGAATGTGTTGCTTAGGAATGATAATTACAAGAATGATGGAAAACAATAGCCTAATAGATGAATAGTGGGAGACAATGATGACTGATTGTAATGGAGTGATAGTGGAGGGTATCTAGTAGCATATGAATATAATCAAAGTGTTTTAGTTGGTGGGAGAAGAAGAAGCTTATAGTTTTTGCTAGCATATGCTAGGATTATTGTGTTTTGCTATTGTAAGAATGTGGGATTGTGTAGCACACCCTATCTCTCTCCCCTTAAGCTAAATAAAAAAAAAGTAATTGCTTGATAAAAGAGCTTTTAGTGACTTTTTTATCTTAATCTTTCCATGAATTAAAGGGAATTGAACCTGTGCCATTTACTCCAATACCACATATAATACACCTTATCTCTTTC